CTGTGGCCATGAGGCTGTAACTTCTATTGTCCTTCTGACATACTATTGATTAGACTCCAGTTGATACTAAACATCTCAGCACAACTCCTCATAGCTAGAGTAGTTTCCATCCTGAGATCTTTCCTTTCTATCTTGTAGCTCTTATTCATACAGGTATCAATTTTTTAAATTTGGTTTGGGGCTTTTCAGTAGTAGACTTGTTATTGCTTGCTACTTACTGTCCAGTGTAGCTAGACAATTATACTACGTCCCATGTTAGAGGCTCTTCACAACCAACACTTTTTATTAGGCGTCAAATGACATCCTAGAAGGACCACTGAACTCAGGTGACCTGCTACCCCTCTGTGATAAGTACCAAACCTGCAGCTCTCTACCTACTCTACCCAGAAAGCATCTGCCCCATGGGACCCCACCCTTCAGGACCTGCAGGAGTGAGGCTATCGCCACAGGAATGGACCAGAAAGAGCCACTCCAAAGAGTATAACCATATACTCTCAGATTCAGATATTACTGATCCAGCTCATGGTCCATAGTAGCTATCTGTGTTTAAGTAAACAAAACATTTATTAAAGTTTCTGGTTTTCCAGGCAATCTTCTCTAAGCACTGGGATGTATAATGTTGGAGAAGATAAGGTCCCTACCTTTAAGAGACTCAAGTTCCAATTAATAAGAATATTAGCTAACATTTACTGAATGCTTACTATGTGCCAGGCACTATTATAAGTACTTCACAAGTACTAATTTCATTAATGAAACAAAGTGTAAACCACTACTAGCCATATGAACAGAGAACAATGATGGTCAGAAGGAGAAAACAATTCTAATGGTCAAGGAGGCTTCACAGGTGACATTTGAGATGGGGCATGAAAGACGTCCAAGGTTTTACTAGGACACATATTCTAGAAGAAACAGCACACATGGGGCTATAAGGAGGTATGAAGGATCAAGCCACCATCCTTCTAAGAGTTCGCAGATTGGGACCACACAGGAAAGGGCTTTGAATGCCATGTAAAAAAAAAGTTTAAGCTTCACATGACCTTCAATATCACCCCCTTGCCTAAACCAAACTGATTTCTGATCAAATCTCTGTTTTAGAATAATGATCTCTGGCAGCTGGGTGAATGATGGTTTGGAAAAGGGAAGAGACTCAAGCTAGGGAGACCACTAGGGAATCATTTCAAAAGCCTGAATGAGAGATAAAGGCCTGTATCTGGACACTGGCAATACCAAGGGAGGGTAAGGAAGAATCCAAGCAATTGCAAAGGTAGAATAGTCAGGATAGTTGAGTAGGTTGATTAATTCTAGAAATGTTACAGAGATGAAGTGTGATGAAGGTTGGCTGAGAACTGGATGATTGCAGTAAATATTAAAGGTCTTTCTACCCATCTCAGAATTAATTCAAAAAAGGGATACTGGTCTGAGGACAAATTTGAAGATAGGCATCATCTGACCAAGGGGAATCAGCTGGGCAGTGCAGGCTTTCTGACTATGCCTTGTTTATTTGCCCTTTTATCTACTTGTGTCCCTTCCTCTCAGAGCCCCGAAGCCAGGACAGGAGACGGCGGCCGCAGCCACTGACCCATCGCCCTACTGCAAGCAGCCTGGTCCCATCCCCAACTCCCACTAGTTCTGGCCCAGTCTCATCACGCAACCTGGGCTCCTCCTGCCTACTGCCCAACTCACTCAGCATATCAGGTCTGTACCTATTGTCACTGAGGTCTGGGGTGGCCAGCATCCTCCCATCCCTACCACCCCATGCTAAGACCAGTGTCCTGAGTAGGCTTGAGGAAATACCATCAGCCATGCTGCCACCTGACCCAGACTTCTCCTGGACCTGATGTTAATGCAAGCCACATCATACCAGAGGCGTCCGTTATCGTCCTAGTAATGAACCTGGATGATCCTAAACCCCTAACACCCATGCCCTTGTACGGGAAGCTGGAACTTAATGAAGGATTTTGTATAATAAAATAATAGCAAACATGAGGTGGTTCAGTAGTAGAATTCTCACTTTCAGTGTCTGAGACCTGGATTGGATTCCTGGCCAAATGGATTTCATGCACAGTTTTTCATTCATGTGTCAGAGGAGGCCTGTATGCTGCTATGATGCTGAACAGGTTTCAGCAGAGCTTCCAGAGTAAAGATGGACTAGGAGGAAAGGCCTCACAGTCTACAACTGAAAATCTGCCAGTCAAAATCCTATGGATCACAACTGCCTGATCTGCAACCGACCATGGGGATAGCACAGGACCAAGCAGTGTTTTATTCTGTTGTGCAGAGTGACCATGAGTCAGGGGCCGACTTGATGGCAGCTAATAATGGCTAGTGTTTATTTAGCATTTCTTATGTGCCAGGTACTGCTCTAAGCACTTTATCTCAATCTTCATTTTACAGTTAGGAACAAAGTGCTATTTACTTGCAAAGTGCTGTTTACCCAAGCTCCCTGACAAAAAGGAGCTGGGCAACATTAGCCAAAACTAAAGAATGATAAAAGATAGGCTTTTCACCTTTCATCACTGCAAATGTTGTATGACTGTCATTCACAAAAAACTTAGGTTGTTTACTCTCCTTTATAGATTCAGCTGCATAAAGAACCAGATAGGAATAATTTCTAAGGCTTCAGTCCATGATCTTCCACCTCACTCACAGGGTGCTATTTTCAACCTGTTCTCTCTCCTCAAAGGGTAGCCCTCAATCCTCCAGTGTTGGGTACCATCAACTCAGTCCATAAACGCTTGAACATTTGCTCATGGCCTAAGGCCTATAAATTTACAAAAGTCACTAAGCCTGGGGTGTAGGGGAGAAGATGGCATCTAATGGGCAAAGGCCAGGGATGCTGCTAAATATCCTACAATGCACAAGACAGCCATCCTTCCCAACAAAGAACTACCCCGCCCCAGATGCCAAGTGCCAGGTTGAGAAACCCTGATCTAAAGGAAGTTGCAGCTCTTCTCCATCACCCTTACCCTAATGATCAGTTTCCTTTGTTCTCTAGGGAGTAGCTGCTCACTCCTATCCTCAGGGGACAAGCCAGAGACTGTCATGGTGATTGGGAAAGGTCTGTTAGGGAGTGGAGCACGGACCCCTTGCATCAGGACCCGACTGCAGGTAATTTTGGGTCTTCCCCAGTGCCTAGCGTAACAACTGACAGAGCCCAGTAAGGCACTGTTCATCTGGGTAGTGGGAGGGAAAATGCCTAGCACTGCTTTACAGCCTCTCCTCAGCTGCTCTGGGAAATTAGATGCTGAGTGCCTGTCTGTCTAGTGGCCCATCCCCATTAGTTAGGTCTTTTGCTTGCTTCCAACCTTTGTCCCTGCCAGATACACCCAAACCTCAGCCTGCTAGCTTTGGCTCTCCCTTCCCCTGCCCTTAGCTTCTCCTCTCTTTCTGCCCAGACCTGCCCGAGGAGAGTTTCCGCCAGGAGGGGTCCCGGATTCCCCAGGTAACTTATCTAGTTGCTGCTCCTAGAACAGCTGTGCCACCAACTCGATGCAATCCAGATCCCCATGCTAGGTTGACTAAAGTTGGAAATAGGCAAAAGCTTACTGAATGGGTAAAGCTTAAGCTGCTCTGGCAGGGGCCGACACTCTTAAGGGTGGTCTGGCAATCCTCCAGTCTTTCCACACAGTGCTTCTCTGCTCAGCCAGACTTTCACCAAGAGTTGCTATGGAGGTTAAATGCTGGATCCTTTCACCATCCCTAATTAAGACTCAGAATATATAGTCAGACTGAACCTAGTAGTTCTCTGGCCATTATCTTGCCTCTCCTTCTTAAATAGGGACCAAAAACCAAACCCAAACCACTGCCGTTGAATCAGACTCAACAACCCTGTAGGACAGTAGAACTGCCCTATAGGGTTTCCAAGCCTGTAAATCTTTATGGAAACTGATTGCTACATCTTTCTCCTGTAGAACAGGTGATGGGTGCAAACCCTATCCTTTCGGTTAACAGCCAAGCGCTTTAATCACTGTGCCACTAGAGCTTCTATTAGCTAGGAACAGTGCTTAGGAATTCAAAGACCCAGTTCTTGTTGAGTCCTACACTACACTTGTATGCAAAGAAACTCTAGAAGCAAACAAGCTCATGGAAGAATCCAGCCTCTTAGCCAGCCCCTGTCCACACAGGCTAGGCCCAGGTTGGGCCGGGGCTCACCGCCGACTCGCAGAGGGATGAGAGGCTCTTCAGGCCCCACATCCCCTACCCCCCGGACCAGGGAGAGCAGTGAGCCAGAGCCGCAACCCTGCTCTGCTGCACCAGGGTGAGCACCAGGGTCTAGTCCCTCTCCCCATCCCTTACTTCATCTGTACCTTTCCATTTCTACCATTCAGAATAATCTTCCTTCCCTACTCCCTTTGACCCCTAGACTAAATGTATTTTAAGAATCTAGTCACTGATTTTTTTTCTACCATGGCCTTGGTCTTCATACCAAGGAACAAGAAAACTTCTTAGTTAGGGCTTAAGGCCTAGGAGCTGTCTGGTTCCAGCATCAAACCACTGTGTAGCAATAACCTCCCTGTCCCTACCCATTTCTCCTCTCCCTAACACTCTTTGACGTCCCAGCCCTTGGCTGACCGACCAGAAGAGGGGCAGAGTTTTCACAGTCCTGATTCCTCTCTCTTCTCTGTTGCAGGCTGCCTCAGGCTGGGCCTCCACGGCCCCGCTCTGCCCCTGCCTTTTCTCCTATTTCCTGTAGTCTATCTGACTCCCAGTCCCGGATTTGTTGCAGTAGGGGGCCCTTGGGCCAACTTGAGGTTTGTTTTGTCCCTAAATCCCCCCCACTCACTATTTCCTCCCGGGTCTGATAATGCCTTGCTCAGGATATAGCGCCAAGATGGGAGAACATAGTGAGAAATATGCTAGTCCCTTCCCTCAGCTGCTGATTCCATATGACAACCATAACTCCGTGGAATGCCAGCCACACTGTCCGAGGCATCGCAGAACACCACCTTGACAGGACAAAGCAGGGACCTGTCACCCTCCCCTCCTTCCACACCACAAGATTTTGGGACCACAAAAAATATATCTATATTTTTATATTAGGGGAGTAGAAAAGAAAGCAGCCCCTATACTGGGCCCTATTCAGTGGCAGTTTCTTGTTCCATAGGGTTAAGGAAGACTTTGAGGAAATAAAAGTTGTTTGGAAAAATCCAGGTGTAGCTGCTTTGTATGTTGTGATGGGTAGAAGGGATGAAGTGAAGTGTGAAGGCCCCTCACACCCTCCATCTTGCCTCAGACTATGTCCTGGAATCCTAGAAAAGAGGGGGAGAGACCTGAGGTAAGGAAAATGCTGCAGATTTCTTCTGGAGAAATCCTTCAGGAACTGACTCCCATCCAGCCTATTCCCTTTTACATTTTTGACCCACACTTAAGGTTGGTTCCCTCCCACCCCTATCCCTTCTTTTCTGTGGCTGGGGTCTACACAGAAGCCAACCCCTACATCAATGCCTTTGTCCCAGAACATGGAAACAGAATTCTCTATCATTACACACTCTCACAGAAAATTCTGCCTAAAGACCTGAACAACCTTGGGAAAGAGGGCTATTTAAGTGGGCTATTTAAGCCCAAATCCTCATATCTGGATAACATCCTCACTGCTTCTTAGTACCCATACCCTCAATTTGTAACCATACCCTCTACTTGAGCATCTATCTACTGGGAACCATTAAGAAGATGGGGGCTTACGGGGCACTAGGAAACCCATCCCCATTCTAGCGTGAAGCAGTTCAAGGAAGTGGGGCCAAAGCACTGCAAAACACTCCCTTCTCTGTGCGGATAAAGAGCCCCAGTTCTGGGCGTATCCTGCTTGCCCCGACACTTTCTGATTTGAAGTTCCGAACCCTGCAGGCCCTGGCGCGGCCTCGTCACTCAACTCTCCTGGGGCTGGGCGCTACAGCCCTGGACCGTTACCTGGGGCAGAGAAAGCGCCACTCTCATTCTTGCTTCTTGGGATTGTTGACCGCCACGTAGTGATAGAGAACGACAAGCAAAAAGAGCGACACGCCCAACATGTTGGCGAAGATGGCGAGCTGCACGTCTGTGATCATCCTGCGGAGGAGAGGGGGCACTGAGTCTCAGGCCAGCATACTCCTTATCTTCTCTAGGACCCGTCCTCACCCACACCAACCAGCCACCCCGCCAGCTGACCCATTTGACAGCGCCTACGTGCCTCTCACCTGATTAGCTCCGACGCTCACTGCGCACAAATTCGAGGTAGTAGACTTGGGCCGGAACTCTACAGCGCCACCTCAGTCTCAAACCGGGTACTTCCGGTAGTGAGGCGCCGTCGGAACAGCCTCTCTAGCCCGGCCGTCTCCCCTGCTCCCTGCGGCTGGCTTGCAAGGGGCGGGGTCTCGGGCGGGGCTGGGATGGGACGTCCTGCACAGCTGGCGGCAGCTGGTGAGGCCCGGAACTCGATTTGCTTAGTTGTAGCTGCCTCCTCCAAGCCCGGGAGTGGACTCGGGCGAACGTGTGGTGGCAGGGCTGGCCGAGGGACTCAGCTTGATCCTTAGGCTCTGACCTCCCCTTTCCTGCTCCGGCCCCCCGCTGTGCTGCCCACCCCTCGCTTCCCGGCCCGGCCCAGCCAGGTGCTTCCTTTGGATCCAGCCCTCTGGGTCACCTCCCTGGGCAGGGCGGCGAGGACAGGAGTAGGAGGCAGTGCAGCTTTAGGACGGGGCTGGGGCTGCCGGTTGTTTCTCTCCCAGGCACCACATCGGACCAAGTTCACCGATATTGCCGGTGATCTGAGCAGTGCCTGCCTTACCCGGGCTTCCGCCCCCAACCCTGCCCTCGGAGGTGGGCGTCGGAAATAGGGCGGACTCTCCGGGAATCGGAACCCAAATGTGGGACTTTGGCCAAGTGGGAAATCACCCCCCGGATGTGAGGGAGGGGAAAGAGAGGAACGGCCGGCACGAGCAAGAGAGGACGAGGGTTCGAGGCAGAGTGGGTCACCAAAAACGAAAAAGAGAGGTGGCTGTGGGTAGAGGTCCGAGAGGCTCTGGCGAGGGCCTAGACACCCTGGGGTTCCACAAACCTCTACCCAGTCAGAACTCCCACCCTCCCTTTCTTGGTTTCCCTCAGCTTCACCATAAAAGGGAACGGCACCGAGCCAGGCTGGGGCCAGGGGCTGGGCTGTTTGCTCTGGAGCTGTCAGGGGTAATAGAAGCCAGTTGCTTTGTGGTGGGGGGTGGGGCAGGGCTCAGGGGAGCCTCAGCTTCTCTGAGCCAAAGAAAACGCTACAGAAGCTGCTATAGGGCTGGAACAGCTGGGCCAGGGGACCAATTTGCCCGCCTGTGTGCCGAGTGAGCTAGGGTACACAAACCCGGTGGACTCAGCTTCCTGGCCTGGGACCAGCAACTTTGTCCTCTGTGCTCCAGCCTGGGAGTTCCCAAGCTCAGTGTGCCTTTAGCAGTCTGTAGTTCCCCCTGGCTTCCCCCAACTCGCCCCCAGCCCCCACCCAGTATTTCCCAGAAGTTTCCTATTTAGAATCCCAAGCCCAACATCCCTCTACATAACATTAGTGAAACCCCAGGCATGTACTCCCTCACACTTCCCTCAGAGAGCAGTCTGTTCCCAGCTCTGTTCTGGGAGAATGTCTTAAAAGATTACACGTCATTATGTTTCATGTCTCCTGAAAATCTGTAGCACACTCAAATCCAACTAGACACCTAGGTCTGTTGTTGAATCAGAGCTAGATCCCCCTTTTGTTAGTAAGCTCTAATATCTAGGCTGACCATGGAAAGTGGCAGTTCTGGACTTCAGATGACATGTGGAAGTGACCAAGACTGACCTGAAATCAAGTGACCCAGGTGCAGAGGATCTTAGACTGTCAGAGCTTAAGGGGGCCTTTAAGATTATTTTATAAAGAAGGAAACTGGGACCCAAAAGGTAATTGATTTGACCAAAGTTCTACAACTGGTTTGAGACAGGACCAGATCCAGGTTTCACCTATTCCTTTCCTCTATTCTATGTTGTTGTTGTTGTTGTTTGCCGTTGAGTCAACCTCGACTCATAGCGACCCCTCCTTGGGTTTCCGAGGCAGTATCACTACGGAAGTAGGATTGCCCAACCTTCCTTCTGAGGAGTGGCTGGTGGGTTTGAACCGCCAGCCTTCTGGTGAGCAGTCAAGTGAATAGACAGCTCTATTCTATATCCCCTGTCAAATTGTGGACTCAACAAGTTATCCTTAGGATGAGGTTGGTGAGACTTGGAAGACCCTCAATGAGATGGTTTGACATAGTGGTTGCAACCATGGGCTAAAGCATAGCAAGGATTGTGAGGATGGTATAGGACCAGGCAGTGTTTCTTGCTGTTGTACATAGAGTCATTATGAGTTGGAACTGACGAGACATCATCTGACAACACAGGTTATCCTAGGGTCAGGGACAGAGGAAAAGGATTTGTTTTAGAACCAAAAATGTCTTTCACCTCCCAGGACTTCCTAGGCCTAGGTCAGCGAGTCTTTATCAGCCTTGAATGGATCATTTGGCCTTTTGCCTTGGAGAAACTGAAATTTTTAAATTATCGCTGAGTCTGAACTGGACTCAGTTAAGAACTAACAAAGCTTGAGTGAAAAGCATGTGGGAAGAGAGACAGGCAGAGCCTTATGCTGGGATCCAAAATGGGGTGGGAATAGGGAGACACTTGTGGAGCTGAGTCTCTGTGATTACAGTAACATTTCAAGAAGAGGCCATGAGACCAGGATTTAGTTTAAGAGTGAAAAAGCAACAAAATGTGGGAAAAGAGGGACTGCTCCTGAGTCCAGGAAGGTTTGTTCCTTATGTAATGTAACTGTGGGAAAGAGTTGGAAGGAAAAGAAAAATGTGTGCCTTTGGGGAAGAGGGGATTTTTGCTTGAGTCCCCACAACCTTGAATTCCCATCTGGGTTGGCATGACCCCAATGCCCAATTCATATTATCTTTCCCTTTTATTTCTTCCCAATATTCAGTTCTCTAACAGAGAGCATTAAACATAAAATGTTCCTTTTTGCTGGTGCCCCTGGCTGTCCTGGCCTTGGGAACATGAGCTCATTGCTCAGTCAATGGGGGTTAAGTGAATGAATTAGTTGCCTAGTATGTCTAGTTCCATTGGCACTAAACCTTTGGCAATCACCCATTTTGGAGAGGTTGTAAAATAGATCCTGTCCTAGGGCTCCAGAGACTTAGCCTTTTTTGGTCTCAGGAAGTCTCTTGACAATTGCTTTGGAAACTTTTGGCTGCTTGCCAACACCACCACCACCAACAGCATGACCAGCACTAGCACTGTATTCTTTCTAACCTTCACCTCCATTGCAACCTGATTGCCCATACCTCAGACCAGCAATGGGAATTGCCCTCCCCAGTGAACCCAGTGCCACTAATATATTTGATACCTTACAAACATTCATGTCAGCTCTTAGGTCTTGGCTTCTAATTATAAGACTAAATGAAATGCAACCTACTGAAATTGTATTTTAAAGCCAACATTTTTGACTTGACACACTTCAAATGTACAACAGATTTTCAAACTTCAGAGGCCTAGAGAGAGAATGGGTGACAACTGGGCAGTGACAAGATGACTGGGATGTCTTTACAGATTGCCAGAGGCTTTCTGAAAGGAGAAAAGAGGGAGAGGAGCAGGGAGAGAAAACCCATAGCAACAGTCAGGGCAATCTGGAGGAGGGGTGGGCTGACTTCAGGGCCACAGCCAAGGGCTAGAACTGAGGCAGAGATGGAGACAATGCTGCAACCTTTCAATGATAGCTCCTTTGAAATCAAGATCTCCTGGGATCATTTCCCTCAAGTCTCCCTGTGCTGATCCCCAGACCTCTAAGGGATAGCCACACATTTCTGTTTCTGTTCATTTCAGCCTTTGCTTTCACCATTCTATCTTTTCACCAACATTTCTCCCAGCCATCAGGTCACATTCTGGGTCATAGGACCTCAGACGCAGATCACTCAGTGGCATTGAAGGTCTGGTGGTATCCATTGTCATGACATCCAACTATGGCACCTACAAATGGTTCCCAGAATCAAGACCCACATTTCTAACCATCACCTAGATGGGTATTTCCACTGAGATGTATTCTTCATGTCTTAAACTCAATATGTCCAAACTAAAAAAAAAAAAAAAAAAATACTGCAGTGGAGTCTGATCCAACTCATAGCGGCTCCTTGGGTTTCCGAAGCAGTATCATATGGAAGTAGATTGCCCAACCTTCCTTCCATGGAATGGCTGGTGGGTTTGAACTGCAAGCCTTCTGGTTAGCAGTCAAATGCCTTATCTCTTATTTCCCAAAACCTGCATCTCTTCCAGACTTCCCTAACTGGCTTAAATCCTAGAATCCTCTCTGGTGTCTCTCTTCACCTGGTCCCTCATTACAGAGCAGTCACCAGGCAGTTACAGTCTTCCCATCCTTTCCATGATCACTGCCACCAGAGCCCAAGTCTGCATGACTTTGCAATGTACAATTTGCAAAGGACCTAAAACAACAAATAGCCCTTCCTCATATAACAAAACTGGTGCCCAATGGAGTAATGAGATTTGCCCAAATTTATAATGCTAGTTAAAGGACTAGCATCCTTGTGCCATGGCACTCTATTCATTGTTGTTTCTGAAAACTTTCTGTTCATACTTGTATTCCCCTATTTAAAAACACGTAACTTAAGCTCTTAACCAGGCATTTGAGCTTCACCCTAACTTGTCCACAATCTATCTCTCTGACTTTTTACTGACACCAATAAGAACTAACATTTATTGAGCATTTACTATATGCTGGGCACTGTTCTGAATGTTTTATACATATTAATTTACTTAATCCTCAAAAATATAGAGACCCACTACCTTCAAGTCAATTCTGACCCATAGTGACTCTATAACAGAACAGAACTGTCCCATAGAGTTTCCAAAGGAGTTCTGGTGGCATAGTGGATAAGGCATTTGACTGCTAACCAGAAGGTTGGCAGTTCAAACCCACCGGCTGCTCCACAGAAGAAAGATGAGGTGACCTACTTCTGTAAAGATTTACAGCCTCAGAAACCCAGTGGGGGTCACTATGAGTCAGAATTGACTCA